AGCCTGAGGTCCCGGGATTTTAATGGGGTGCTGGGTGCTGAGAGTCAGGATGGGCCTGTATCTGGTCAAGGGAGACACTTGATGATGAGGCTGTACCTGCGTGAAGTGATAGTTGGCTGAAATACTTTCGAGGAGACAAGGTTTAAAGAGACCTGTTGTGGGATCCCTGGGTGGCGCAGCGGTTTAGCGCCTGCCTTTGGCCCAGGGCGCGATCCTGGAGACCCGGGATCGAATCCCACGTCAGGCTCCCGGTGCATGGAGCCTGCTTCTCCCTCTGCCTATGTCTCTGCCTGCCTCTCTCTCTCTCTCTCTCTCTCTCTCTCTCTCTCTCTCTCTCTATCATAAATAAAAAAAAAATTAAAGAGACCTGTTGTACTTAATCAGCACCTTTTCACAGCTGCTGGCAGGATGGACACCATGTTACTCAGGCTAAATTCTAAAGGACAGGTGGTCATTCACCCAACAGATGTTCAAAATTCTGGCTCCCCCAAACCTAAGCCCTCCCAAGATTTTAAATGGACGTGTACTTAGACGGAGAAGTTTATTTTACAGATGTACTCAGCTGTGTGTGAAAAAATGAAGGATATACCTCTGATATTGTTGATAAGAGCATTACAGTCTGGGGGTTGGGGGTGTAAATAAACACCAGTCACTGCAAACACTGGACCTGTGTGGCCGTTACAGCACATGGCATAGACTTGTATGTGCCGATACGTGACCATCTCAGGAAGTACTACAGGATGCAAAGCACAAAGCGCAGACTAGCGTGCACACTGCAGGCGGTGCATGTTTGCACTTGCACAGAACACCACACAAGACAACCAAAACTACCTCGGAGGAAGCAACGGGAGGTTCTCCACTTTCTATATCCTTCTGTGCTGCTTAAGAAATGTTTGTAAACCACATGCATGTGTTTCATTTTCCAATAGAAAAAAAAAATGGAACCATTTTACTTTTTTTTTTTAAAGATTTTTATTTATTTATCCATAGAGACAGAGAGAGAGAGAGGCAGAGACACAGGCAGAGGGAGAAGCAGGCTTCATACAGGGAGCCTGACGTGGGACTCGATCCAGGGTCTCCAGGATCACACCCGGGGCTGCAGGCGGCACTAAACCGCTGCGCCACCGGGGCTGCCCCCGTTTTTTAAAGTAAGAATAGAGAAATGCTCCCTACCTATCAGTCTGCCTTCAACCCTGAATCCAACATATTAAATGACAAGCGTGACCAAGGCAGATTTTTTAAAAACGTGGAAATTATAGTTCCATGCTTCTGTACAAATCCGCTACCTACCTTTCCTCAACTTTACTATATGAGGCACACATTTCCCACGGATCCCTGCAGAAAACGGGCCCATAAAACATTTGAGAAGTTTGCTTTTGTATTCCAGTATAAATAACTCTTTAATAGCCCTAAGTTTCTTGCGCCCTTACTGTAGTGCCAAGCACACAGTCTTGCATAAAGTAAACATCACAAAAAGCACCCTGTTTGTTGGCTGTTCCTCATCCCCCAGCCCAATGCCCGGGGGCTGGCACGACCCGCTCACGTCAGGGCCTATCAACAGAGGGTTTTCGTCCCCCCCGGGATCACGCTGGGCGTTCCGGAACCACCCCACCCAGAAGAGCAGCTGGGCACCTGGGAGCGCACAGCCCTAACAAACGCCCCCACAGGCCCATTGCTCAACTACCTCAGGCCAGCCCAGGGGATACGGGACAACAGGTGTCACCTGTCCCAAGACGGAAGAGATGTGGCCAGAGAGACCGCGGGGCTCCTGGACCCCAGATGAAAGGCCATCGACCACCCCTGGACCTTCTCACACCACATTCCTGCCAACACAGGGCTTTGGGACAATAAAAACAGCTCCCTCCTACCAGCACCTGGGCCTGCCTGCCCTTCTGGACCCAGGTGGTGTACGTGTGTGATCACGAGCGAACGGCTTAGCCCCTCTGCTCTGGGATTTCGGCATCTGCAAAGCCGTAGAGGCGATGCCATCTACCCACGGCTCACGGAGCTGCAATGACGATGAGGCATGTAAGGCTGACACACAGGCACTCCCCCACGCGTGTCAGCTGGGAACATTAATTACCATCCTCGTCACAGACGACCCTGCAGCAGCCCCCCGCTGTGCTCTCTAACTCCACGCTAGCTTCCTCTCAGCAGCCTAAGTGACCTTAACAGTGGGAAGGGGAGGTCATCCTGGTTACCGTCCCCCACGGCCCCCCCCGGAAGCCTCCATGCCAACCTCTCCGGACTGGCCGACCATCATTGACTGGGGGAATTCTGGCTCCACCCCCACCTCCCTGCCCAACCCCAAAATAAGGTGGAAGCCCCTGCCACATGCTCCCGAAACTCCTGAAACTCCTGCGTTGACCTTTTCACACTTACAGATAGGAAGGGGCCTACTCGGGGCCACTCTGCCCCCGAGACTGTGCTCACGCGGCACACACAGTACGCTGCTAGTAGCTGCAGGGTGACAACTACACGGCTGGCAACCAACTGGAGACTCTGGGCCCTCCTCTCCCAGCATCACAGCCCATGCAGCCTCTACTCGGGGGCACGACGCTGCGAGACAGGACTTCCAGGGCCCCGCACGCACTTCCCCGGCGTCAAGACCACTCACGCTGCTGTACCACCACCACCGCTGCCATCCGTCATCCCAGACTGATACTCTGTACCGACTGGACAAGTGCCACCCATGCCCCTCCCCACAGCCCCCGGGAGCCACGGTCCTGCCCTGTCTCTGACTCGTCTGCTCCGGGGACTTCATGTACGTGGAGGTGTAGCATATCTGTCCTTCGGTGGCTGCCGTATGTCACCGAGCATTATGTCTTCAAGTGCATCCACGCTGTGGCAAGTGTCAGCACTTCCTTCCTCTTTAGGGCTGTGTCTGTCTAGGTCACATTTTGTTGACCCGCTCATCCACCAGGGGACAGCTGGGTTGCGTCTTCTGCTTGGTGGTATGAAAAATGCTACTGAAACTTAGGGGTGCAAACATCTCTGGAAGACTCTGCTTTCAATTCTAGGGGGGCACATGCCTAGAACTGAGATTTCTAGATCATGTGGCAATTCTGTTTTTAATTTTTGGAGGAACCACTGTATCTTTCTATAGTGACTGTAGCCACCTCACATTTCCAGCAGGGCTTCAGCATTGACACGTTCTGCGTTTGTCTGTGTGTTTCCAGTGGCCATCCTGACGGCAACCCTTCATTTTTTAAGCTTTAAAACTGGTTAACTGAACTAAGTTTTTGTCTCACCTGTGCAGCTGACTAAGAATGTTATTAGCAAATCTGTTTCTCATGAGTATGCTGAGAAATAATTCTGAGAGGTTAATTTTCACAGAGCAGCTAAGATTTAAAAAACAAAAAAAGCCCAAACCAGAAAACTTTGGACACAGAATCACCCTGTATTCAAATCTGAAAGTGCCACTTCTGAGACTAATAAAGTGCCTTTTCTGAACTTCAGTTTACTCATTAATGGAACCAAGCTCCTAAGTTACTCATCTACGAAACACTCATTTCTACAAGCTGTTGGGAGAATTACATTACAGAACTGGATCATGCACTTGGCCTGTGCCTGGAACCTCACAGACGGGACAGATGTCCTGTCACGGATGGGACAGGTGATGAGGATGAGGGAATGAGTCGTGACTACCAGAATGCCACCAACACGTGGATCAAAAAAGATCTCATATTTAGCATTTTATACATGTAGGTCCTTTCCCCGTTGACGCAGGTAAGCTTGTTCTATACAATTTACACATTTTTCTCCTCAAACCTACAAAGCTGTCGCTGAAGTGGCAATGAGCACTTGTCACATATTTTAAATTATCTCAAATCTAGTTAGAGCAGAAAGGTGGAGCACATTGTGAGAGGAGATTGTTTTTCTCTGCTCTGGGAGGTAATGAAGAGTCCATGTCAGACGCCCTTTCAAACATGTGGCTTTGGCTAAATCAAGTCCTGTATGAAAGAGGCCTACCTGGGATCTCTTGCACCTTCACCTGGCATCTCCTGTGAACTCTCAGGGCTTGAGGAGAAGACAGAAATCATTTAACCCAAACTCCCACCAAATACCTGCTGTTAGTTCTGTTTCTTTGGATTTACTAATAACTCACTGTGAAACAGAAAATATTTGGGAACCCTTAAGCCAACCAATAAATAGAAATGGATTTTAAAATAAAAGTTCAATTGAAAGGGTGCTAATTCACCATGGAAAACACCTCCAGGCCCCTTATATGTACGTGTGCACCGGGCGTTTTTCTAAACACTTTACAGTTATTAACAATTTTAATCTCATGGGGACTCTGATTCAGATCCTATTAATATTACAATGCATTTAAGTTTTTCTTAAAATTTTGATAGAGAAACGTTTGTGTAAAATAACACTCCAATACTTTAGTTATGTTACTGGCTTCAGGTTTCTAGACTGTCTGCATTTTCCATCTTGGTAAGCTCATGCAAACCTCTTTCTTTCTCCCAAAGCAGTGGCTGGAAACATAGACATGCCCTAGCAATGGAATCTGTTTAGGCTGATTATTCTGGGTTTAACCAGAAACTGGGGATGCCTGGGTAGCTCAGCGGTTGGGCACCTGTCTTTGGTCCAGGTCACGATCCCAGAAACCGGGATCGAGTGTCCACATCAGGCTCCCTGCATGGAGCCTGCTTCTCCCTCTGCCTGTGTCTCTGCCTCTCTCAGACTGTGTCTCTCATAAATAAATAAATCGTAACCAGAAACTATTTCAACCATTGTTGCATTAAGATGCTTTAAACTGTTTTTGATTTCAGTAACTATGATCTATGGGTGTGTGACTTTTAATCTTCCACTGGTAGTTCAAGATTTAGCAAGGGAAGTCAGTCTGTTTTTGGAAGAACTCCTTAACCAAGCCTAAGACAGCTCGTGGTGAAACTGACCCACAGTGACACAGACCCACAGTGACGCTGACCAGTCCAGGACAGTCTATGGTGACGCTGACCCATGGTGATGCTGACACATGGTGACACGGGCCCATGGTGACGCTGACCAGTCCAAGACAGCCCACGGTGACACTGACCCATGGTAACACAGACCTGTGGTGACACTGACCGGTCCAGGACAGCCCACGGTGACGCTGACCCACTGTGACACTGACCCACCGTGACGCTGACCCACGGTGACACTGACCCACGGTGACGCTGACCCACTGTGATGCTGACCCACCGTGATGCTGACCCACGGTGACAATGACACGGTGACAATGACCCACAGTGACACTGACCCATGGTGACGCTGACTGGTCCAGGACAGCCCGCGGTGACGCTGACCAGCCATTTCAGGGACTGTCTTGATCTGGGGTGTGTGTGGGGTTTCCTCAGGGTCACATTCCGATGCCACATTCTAGGCTGGGGGACGACACAGAGCATTGTCCCAGGCCAGTGGTACCTGCCGTCCCTTGCTGGTGATGCTAACCTGGACCAACTGCGAGGTCCTATCCCGCGTCCACACTGAACTGACGCTTCCCCCCAACCAATTATTCAGCTAGCAGGGAGAACGAGGGCCTGCCTGATTTCAGAAACTGACTCCTGCGTCTGTTTGCTGAGCACCTGCTAGACCTCCCTGTCCCCGAGGCTGGCCCAGGAAGGCCGAGGGAGGAGCGGGGCTGCAGCCCCTGCGGGGCCCCCACCCGACACCCCGCACCCCGCACAGGGCGACAGCCCTTTGCGCCCTCACCTCCTGCCCCCTCTGCAGACACCCACACCCTCAGCGCCTGGCCCCGCCACCCGCAGCCTGTCTCCCTGTCTTGTGACCTGTGCCCTGGCTTCCGCAGCCATGCCCGCCACGGCCCCCACACAGGGGTCCTCCCCCCGTCCACCACAGCACCTCTGAGGTGGCCCTTCCCCACTGAGGACGGGACAGAGGCAAGGAACCAGCCTACAGATTCTACCATCCTGTTGTTTGGTTGGCTTCTTAGAGATCTTTTATTTATTTATTTGGGGGGAGGGTCAGAGGGGGAAGCAGACCCCCCCCGCTGAGCAGGGAGCCCGACCCGGGGCTCGATCCCGGGGCCCTGAGATCCTGACCTGAGCGAGGCAGGGGCTTCTTCGGCTGAGCCCCCAGGCGCCGCTACAAATTCCACCATCGGAACACAAATGCAAACAGGGTCCTACTTACCTGAAAATTAAGTGGCACCATTTACCAGTCATGGTTTATACAACATTTTTATAGAAAACTGTGCGTTACGTATAAAGGTACTTTGTTACACTTTTAATTATCCTAAGCAAGGCACTTAATGAAACATGTCTGAGTTTTCCTTCTTCTGTGGGTTAATTAAGGAAATTAATTTGCAGAGATAATTCTATGATTCACACACAGACTGAGAAAAATTAGCCGGCATTTCTAGAGCTAAAACAGCTTGTAAATACACTTCATGAATTCACGGACGCCCGCCGCAAGTGGTGCCTAATTCCACCCACACGGACAAACTGACTCACGCTTCAGGAAGTTCAACAAATCCTTTCTAACACCCTACAGGGTGCCCCGGCCTATGTTTGGGGCTGCAGGAGTTTCTAAAGAGGCTGACGTAGGAACCCCACTTTCAAAGAGGTCAGACAACGTGGTGGGATCTTGAAATGCACGGCATCATTAAAACCTTAACAAAAAAAAAAAAAAAGTCCTAGGACTAAGATCTTAGGTCGTCAGATATAACTGCATGCAGGACCACAATTTTAAGTATGGGCATTTAATGAAATTAAAATTGCACGTCTTGCTTCATTGTCACTTTTGTTGTATGTGTGTTTGCTCAGGGAGGGGAGGAACTAGGTTTGGGGTTTTTCTCCAATTCGTTTCTTCAGGCAGAGGGCTTGCCTGTGGACAGAGACCAGGTGTTTATTTTGAAGACCTGGAGGCGGGACTGAGAAATGCCTGGTGTGGGCCTTGCCTCCTCCCTGTCCTTGCACACCCACCTCCTTGTGCAGCTGGGGCTGAGCAGAACCACTCACCTGTCATCACACCCACTGCCTGTAACAGGTGACAGTTTCCACCTCCGGCTTCTCCCCACAGCAAGGCGATGTACGGATCAGGAAAGCAGGAGAGAGCCAGACCAGCAAGGGAGGCCGGGAAGGCAGGCTGCAGCCCAGGCTCACCCATGATCCCCTGGGGGGGGGTCCAGCGGCGAGGTCCCCCTGAGGACCTGCTTCCTGCTCTCTGCCCACAACAGACACGCACGCAAACACCACGCACAGACCACCTCCGGGCCTTTCCACCGGGAAGCCTTGGTCTTTCACGCTTGTCCACAGAGCAACAAATGTCTGCCACGTTTCACATTTTCCTGATGTGTTGTTTTTAAATTCACTAGTTTTAGGGTTCTGCTACTTACCACCATGCAGGTACAAGATGTTGTCACCTGAGAACACAGGGCAGGAGGAAGACGACGACACCCTCGTCTTTCAATCTCCAGATCCTTAACTCTCAATGTGTTTAGACAGATGCCCTCAAGAACTCACAAGCTCTAAGGAAGTAAAACTGCAAATCTATAAATATGCATCAACTTTTCGATCTTAACAAGAGCTCCAAAAAAGTGGGTTGATTTGTCACAGGTGTGAAAGCGAACTTATCATCCAAATAAGATGCTCAGGGCAAATCCTTTCTCCCATGATGATGCAAATAAATGGATACAGCGGAGGCCAGCCTGAGCGCTAAGGAACTGAAAAACGGGCCGGAAGCCGTGGCCCACGCCAACTGCGCTGCCGGGGAGATTCTCCAGGTCTCCTGGAGCCTGTGAGAGCCCCCAGCCGCCCCGCCCCTTGCCGGAGGCTGGGAGGCCTGCAGTCCTCTCAGAGGCCTAACCTCCCTCCTAGGGCTGCAGAGAGCTAGGCCTCCGTGGACGTCCCACGCTCGGGCCTGCGTCGGTGAGGGGAAGCCACCGGCTATGCCCGGGCACAGACAGGGACAAACTTGCGGGCTTGTGTGGCTTGTGTGAGGACAACAAAGGCTGTTTTCCCAGAACAGCTGAGTAAGAACATGCTGTCCTGAGTGCAGTCGAGTGAAACGTTCCTTACTGGTTCGCAGCCCTCACAGGAGGAAAGAACAAAGCTGCTGGCCTGGCTGCCAACGATCACAGCCCAGGGGTCACCTCCGTGTGCATTTACTGCTCCTGTCGCCGTCACTCTGACAGCCCGGAGACCCGTGGGGACTGAGAGCTGTCAGGATAACCGAGTTTGCTCTATGTGTTTAACACGGCAGGTTATTAAGATCGTACGGGTTTTACCAAGAGAAAGAACGTAGGCAGGCAGGAGAGCCGAGCTCGTCACACCAGCGCCATGCCGTGGGCAACTGTGCACCGCCTCGCGGTCCTGGGGACCTAGAAGCTCGCTCCGTCCGCCTGGATCACGGACACCCTGAATGAGGCGGCCTCCATCAACAGCGACTGGACTTCCTGCCTCGAAGCTGGGACTCAGTCCAACAGGCACACGCACTTATCTGGAATCCACCAGGCAGGATTTTGCAACCCAGGATGGGCTCACAAAATCCCGGTGTGTCACCACCCTGCCCCCTAACCAGATTCCCAGGCCCCTCCCGTGGAGATCTGACCCCGTGGCCTGGGTGTGCCTGGGCAGCCCTCCTTCTTAACAAGCACTTGAGGAGATTCTTCAGCTCGGGCAAGTCTGGGGAGCACGGGACGGGCCCAGCAACACACCGTAACGCTCAGCTCTCTTGAAGGCCATTCCACCTTTAAATCCCACTCAGCAAGAGCGCCGATTGTGTCAGCATATAAACGGTAACAATGATGCGTATCCCCAAACCCCTCAAATCATAATACAACTTTGGTGATGCCCGTTTCAGAGAAAGGGTTTACATGGCCTGTGCAGGGTGATGCACCCAGTGGGCAACGGGGACGGGAGCATGTTCAGGCTCCAAAAGCAACACCGACCCATTCCTACCCTGCCTCCTCTTCCACGGCACGGATCCTGCTCCTGTTTCACAAGGGACAGCACTGGACTGAGTCCCAAAAAGTCATAACGGCCTAGGAAAACATTTCCAGACTATCGGTCCTTTCAGACTTCTGGCTCTGTGAAGACGCAGAGATCCACCGAGATCTCTAACAGGAGGTCTTCATTCCATGCTGCTCTCAGGGTCTTCCAGGAAGTTTGGATCTTGGCCTCCACACCTCTCCCCAGAAAGAATAAAAGAGGCATCAGAGGCCAACGGACCGTCCAAGAAAAACTAGCAATTAGCTCAGAGAGAGTGCAAGGGGCTGTGGTTTAGCCCCCAAATCTGAACCACACATCAGATGGAGAGCTAGGGGTCTACACTCGGTAGTAAAGAACCACCACCAAAAACAATGTGGTATTGAGACATTTCCACGGTTGCTTTCCTCTATCACATCTAACCTAACACTGAATTTAAAAAGAAAAATCTAATGTTTCTACTTATCCTGCCTAAAAATAAGTCTAGCCAAGTCAGACGAACAGTGCAGCACGGAAACATCCCCGGCGCCCGGATGAGATGAGACTTCTCTCCAGCCTCAGGTTAATTACAAGTCCGTCAAGTTTGAAAAGGATACGAAGACCAGAACCCAAATCAAAGTCACGACTCCGTCAATGAGCACCTGTGGACATCCTTCTAGATGCCAGGTACGGTTCTCGGTACTGCGGATACAACCGGACTCACGCGGGTTAAAACCCCTGCCCAAAGGAGCACCCGTCCTCCCGGAGGATCGGCACCTGAGCAAGGAGCACAAGCAGATGGTCGGCCCGCACGGCCTGCGCTGGCGCGGGGCAGGGCAGGGGCAGGGCGGCTGCGGGGGTCCCGGGTCTCCTGGTAAGGGGCACCCCCTGCGCGGCACAGCCCCCCTATATCCAGGGGAGCGTGTACCCAGTGGGGAGGATGGTGTCCAGCAGACACCCCCCCAACCAAACCGCAGATGCCCGTTTCCTCTCTGCCCAGACTGGGCCACCCCTCTCCCGGCCACTCCGCGCCTCCCCCTGCATCCTGTAGACGGGACCTTCCGGAGTCACCTCTGTCCCCACCTGAGCAACAAAAGGCCTTGTTATCACAAGCTCGGATGGCCGCAGAAGCTCCACACCCATCTCCCCACGTCCTTTACGTTCCCAGCCCCACTGGGGAGCTGAGGTCGTCTTTGAAAAACACACGTGGATCGTATGGTGGCCTCCCACTGCTCTCTGGAATGAAATCCGGACGGTCCATGTCCAGGCCCCGTGGGCCCAGCCCAGGCCACCTCTGAGCGTTCCCCACCCCGTCCCAGAGCTCACCATCCCCATCAGCTTCTCTAACCAGCCCAGGTGCTTTCTGCCTCAGGGCCTCTGCCAGCGGGCCCCTCAGCCTGCGGACACCTTCCCCTCCTGCGTCACACCTGCAGCTCAGTCACCGCCAGGGGCCTTGCCTGACTGTCCCTGCAGCCCGTGCAGGCTCACTTGCTAACGCCTGCCCTCCCCTGGGTTAAAGCCCCACTCCCGCCATCCAGGGAGCAGGGAGCTCTGACCATGTCTGCGGCGTCCCCGACCACAGGGCCTCAAGGCGCTTGGGCACTTAACTGCCTTCGGAACAGTGGGGTTCGCAGCCGACTTGGGACCAGCCAGCCCTGCCCTCGGCTCCCCTGCGCTCCCCGCCCAGGACACAGTCCCAAGGGGCCCCGGCACCACGGGTTCTCAGTGTCGCCATACGGACACAGTCACCTGTAACCCGCGGCCCCCAGACTCTCCTCGGGAGCGGGGCAGTGAGCCGGAGGCGCAGCAAGCCCTGGGGCAGGGCGGCCCGGGAGCAGGATCCCTTAGGAGAATCCAGGATCCTGGAGCCACTGGTCTGGCGGGAAATACACGCCCCCCACAGGGCCCCCCTGGGAGCTGCTCCCCACTGCGGCTCTCACCTGCCCCCCCCCCCGACCCAGCTGCCCCCCCCGCCCCCTGGACCCCCGCCAGCGGAGTGGAAGGGCAGTCGCCGGCTCGGCCAGCGGAGCCTGCCGCCGCTGCAACGCACGAACCACGGCGCCGCCGGGTCTCCAGGGCCCGGGGCCCAAGGCGGATCACCGAGCTGGGGGCCCACAGGCCCAGAGCGCCGAGCCCAGCATGAGGCAACGCGGCCACCGACCTTCCCAAGGGCGCTGGGCCACGACGAAAACCCTAAGCAGCTTCCCGAGAGGAGCCAAAGCCCAACCGAAGGGCCTGCGGCATCCCCTCCCACAGCCGCGCCGAGCCCGAGCCCTGAGCCCGCAGGGACCAGCCAGGTATGCCACCGGGCCAAGTGGCGGCCGCCCGCTCCGTTCCCAACCGGGACTGGGCTCGGGCCACGGACCCCGGGACCGGAGCAGCTCTGCTGCGGACCCGACCCTTGGGCTCCCCAGCGGCTGGGCGGGCGCAGCGCTCCTCGAGAAACAGCCCTAAGGGGCCCCACGCCGCCCGCGGGGCTTCAACCCCGGAATGCAGGCCGCCCAGAGCCACCTGGGGGGGAGCGGGAGGGGGGAGCTGGGGGGCCGCGGTTCCTGCCAGGCGCTCAGACCCCCCGGCTCGGCCGCAGGCTGGATGGGGCAGCGCAGGGCCAGCAGGGCCCACGGTGGGTGACCCCCCCACCCCGTGCGAGCCCCCAGCCCGGCCACTCAGCCAAGTGCCCCTGGCCACCAAGGGCGGCAGCCACGCACATCCCCGAGGGTGTCGTGCGGCCACACTGCTCCACTAAAACCATAATCGGGTGTACCCGGGGGCTCAGCAGTTGAGCAGCTGCCTTCAGCTCAGGGCGTGACCCCAGGGTCCCGAGATCGAGTCCCACATCGGGCTCCCCACAGGAGCCTGCTTCTCCCTCTGCCTGGATCTCTGCCTCTCTCCCTGTGTCTCTCGTGAATAAGTAAATAAAATCTTAAAAAAAAAAAAAACACATAATCTGGGGGCGCCTGGGTGGCTCAGTCAGTGGAGCATGGAGCTCTTGATCTCGGGGTTCTGAGTCCCAGCTCCATGCTGGGTGTAAAGAGTCCTTAAATAAATAAACTTTAAAAAAAAAGTCATTCATTCTGAGAGATTTTTTAAGTAAAAAAATCACATAAGAATGTACATAAGAGCAGCTCAAATGTTTAAGGAGCTCAACAGTCTAAGAGAATCAGCCATTCTGCTGCCCACACTTGAGGACAGAGATGTAGGGGACCCAAGGGGTCCCCAGCGCCCCTGACAGGGATGGTGTCCCAGCGTCGGCACAGGGGACGCAGCCCGGGGGCTGGATCCCAGGGCTGTGACCGAGCCTGCATGCCGCACCGGCCTCCCCGACGGGCTGGGGTCAGCAACCCCTCGCCTGAATTGCAGCAAAACAGCAAATGAGACACAGGAAGTCACCCCTCTAGCACGGGAATGGCAGCAAGTAGACCCTAAGTTAACGCTTGCTCCCTTCCGTCGCGCTCTTGAAGAACCTCCTCTCTCTACCAACATCCCTCTTCCCTGTGATCAACCCTTCAAATTCTTCCTCCCCCGTTAACCACCCACCCTCTACTCTTAGTCCAGCAATTCGGTAGATCTCGCCTGTGGACACCTGCGGAAAAATACGTCCGAGGATGGCCACTGCGGCACCGCCTGTCACTTTCACAAGAAAGTACGGCCAGCCAACTAGGATGCTCGGGCTGAGCTTTAAAAGCAGGTGCTAAAAAAGGAAAGAAGGTATAAAACTTTACATACGACCACCAAATGGATAAAATTCTCTAGGAATCACATCTACTAGCTTCAGTGTCCAAATAGTTTACCAGCCAGGAAGGGCGGGGGAGGAAGGGGGGTGGGCAGGGTAATGGCCCAGGTCCACACCCTCACCCCCCCCCCGGGGCAGGCAGTGTATTAGCTCACGGGTCAAAAGAAGCTTCACAGACTGGATCCAGGGTCAGCCAAGGACCTACCTCATCTGCGGGGCTCTGGTGTCGGGGACCCCTCCCTGGGCTTGCTGGCCGAGGAATGACGGCTCCCAGGCATGACGGAGGAGGAGGCCACGAACCCAGGAAAGCGGCAGAAGGTGGGCAGAGCCCAGAGCCTCGTGTGTCAATCTTAACGCAATGAGGCCCAGCCGGCTTCGGGTCCACGGGAGGGTAGGTAATAAGTATGCAGCCGCAGCAGGAACACACAGGAGGGAAAAATGGGGTAAATGACTTAGCATTTTGTATCCTTTCAGATACTCTGAACATTTACTGTAAATGTGAGGCTTTCATTTTAACTCTTGTGTCAGCACGGAAAGAGAAAAGACAGTCTCTGCCCGGAGTCTGGGGCATGATTCCCTGTCCACAGAAGCTGTCGTGTTTCTCAATAAAATTGGAGAAAAGGGCAGCCCGGGTGGCTCAGCCGTTTAGCCCCTGTCTTCAGCTCAGGGCATGATCCCGGGGTCCTGGGATCGAGTCCCGCATCGGGGTCCCCACAGGGAGCCTGTTTCTCCCTCTGCCTGTATCTCTGCCTCTGTGTCTCTCATGAATAAATAAAATCTTTAAAAAAAATTTGGAGAAAAAAGTTAATTAAAGATAAAAAAAATAGCTTCCCACAGCACCCAGCTCCTCCTGCCTCAAGGCCTCAGCTTTCTCGTTTCTGTACCAGACTCAATTCTACCCGTAAATCAAGGCTCCCGTCCGGTGTTGTCCGGGGGCCCAGGCCTGGTCCCGAGGGCTCTCCAGGGTGGGGCTGGCGGGGCCACACAGGGCCTGGTGCAGCCTGTGGGATGGGGCACCGCCTGCTAACAGGCAGGACACCTGGGTGATGACCAGGAAGGGCGTGATGTCTGGAGGGCACTAATCCCAAAGCAAGCTGGGAAGCTCCGGTGCGGGAAAGCCCGCCGTCATCCGACAGGCATCGCCGGCTCCGTCTGCACAGCCAGCAGGCCTTGTACCTGCCAACCCCCCAAATCATAGCCAAGAGTTCGGTGCCTAGGTCTCCCTCCAAAATCAGCTTTTGACCTTGATCTACAAAGGCTGCTGATCAAGAGACGCTGCTTCGGAGCCGCAGTTTCCCATTTCCCATTGCAATCTTCCAGCTCTGGCTGCCGACATTCGTGACTTGTGTTGAGGTTGGACAACAGGCTGCTGCGCAGAGATGAGCCCCCTCCTCCCACACTGAACGTGATGGGGCCTCCCTCCTGCAGCCCACAGGAGGCAGGCGGGGTTCACGGGGCAGCTGTCTCAGCGAGACGGAGCACGATGCAAAACCTCGTCTGCTCTGCTCAGGACATTTGTCATGGTGAACGAGCCAAGAGAGGACACAGGGTGACACCTGATTAAATAATCAGGGAGTGAGGAGAGCCTCCGACTGCCCCCAACTGCCCAGCAGAAGCTCTTGTTTTAACCTCCATGGTTAACAAATTTTTAGGCATTTTTAACAGGGATGGGGTGGTATTAACTGTTTTTAACTTTTGATTCTGAAATAATTTTAGACTCAAGTAGAGGCTGCAGAGAGAGTGGGGCTCCCGAGGCTCCCGGGGCTCCTCAAGGCACCCCGACCTTCCGTAACCTCAGCAGGGTCATCGACAGCAGCAACCTGACGCCAGTACAGGCCCGCTACCCGAGTTGCAGCCCTCCTCCAGATTTCATTAGCTTTTACGTGTTCCTGGTCATTGTCCTCTGTTTCTTTTTGCAGCAGCTCTAGGATATCTTATCACGTGTACAGATTCAGAGCCACTACCACTGTCTGTTCCCTCCAAGCGCATATTTTGAAAAGACCTTTCCGGGTTTTTACAACCCTTATCTGCTGGGAAGCCTCGGAAAATGAGGACGCCTCTCTGTACTCTTTCTCTTGACCAAATAAGAAGTCAATTCTCTAGTCTCAGGCTGCCACATGCAAACCATTGTTGGCAGAGAAGTGCAGGTTTCAGGATGGGGGTGTCCTGTCACTTCGGGGTCACATACCGAGTCCGGGGACAGCAGTACTCCCTGCCTTTCAAACAACACATGCAGACGACGACAAACTGACCGGCACCATCTGTGAAGGACAAGTAAACCGTACGCGGAAAGCTCAGACACAAGCTGGTCTGGGCTGGCAGGTCCCTGGACCTCGGCCCGTCCAGACTCAGTATCTGAGGCCTCACTGCAGGAGCAAGGAATCTAAGTATCTGAGACTTGATCTGCAACCAACAAATTCTCTTTTTAAATTTTTACTTATTCTAGAGAAAGTGAGACCGTAAGTGGGGGAGGGCAGAGGAGAGGAGGAGAGAGAAAGAACCCTAAGCTGACTCTCTGCTGAGTGCAAAGCCCGACGCAGGGCCGGATCCAGGACCCTGAGATCATGACCTGCGCCAAATCAAGAGTCGGCCGCTACACCAACTGTGCACCCAGGCGGCCCCTAACCAACAAATTCTCACGGCGGAACACAAACACGCCTCTGGGCGGGCCTTCCCAGGTCAAGGTGGGGGCCTGGCCTAGAACTGAAGTCTGGCCGCGGGCGTGGCCTGAGGCACACCCACAGCCTCGGGAACTCCCTCCCCACCACCTCCAGCGGGTCTAACTCCACCACCTGAGGCCCTGCTGCGCGGAGAGTGCAGCTGTCACCGAGGCTCCGTGCCACCCAGGGGGAGCGGGGCCGTGGGCACCCACCTCAGCTGCCGGTGGCTGGCAGGACGCTCTCCTCGAGCGTGAGGGCTCACGGCCACCCAGCCCGCCGTGTCCTCACGGGGCTGCCACGTCCCCAGTGTGTGTTCCCGTGTCTCCCCAGCCCCACGGTCACCCGAGCAGCCCCGGATCCGCAGCCAGCTCCCGGCCCCAAGCAGGCGGTCAGGAGCCATCAAGTGGACGCAAGGGCACGGCCGTCGGGCCACAGAGCGCACGGGGAGGGGGGGGCTTGGGCAGGGCCCGCAGGAAGGGTGCTTGGACCCTGCGCTGGCCAGCTCCCCGCAGCAGGGCGCCCCGCCAGCACCCACACGAGGGGGGGCCGGGCAGCTCCAGGCCCGAGGACCTTCAACAACGACAAGGACACCGGGAAGAAGGGGCGCAAAGGGCCTGCTCGCCGCCCGCGCCTCTGCTCCCTCCGGGGCTCTCCCGTCAACCAGCCCCAGAGCCCTGTGCGCAGGCGGCCTCGGGGGCCAGAGACAGGGGCAGCCCTGGGGCCGCGAACAGCTGGGGACGCCCATGAGCCCCTGCTCTTGGCCCTGGACAGCCGGGCCTCTTCCACAGGAATGGGTGGGCGTTTAGTGATTAATGGACGAACCCCCCCAATCAAAACGCTAATTCTCTGCGATCTTCATTGTACTGCAATGACCTGAAAGTATCAGAAAATTACCCCAGCCCCTACTTTCAAAACCACCGGCTGTTGCAGTGAATCAGTACACGGCTCGTGACCCCAGCCAGCACCTGCACGCCTGCTGCCCGCTGGCAGGCCGGGGGCACAGCGGTCACGGCCGTGAAGCCCCTAAAGAGGGGAGGGCCCGGCAGCCAGACCCACATCTCCCCTTCTGGAAGGCCCGGTGAACCCCCGGAGCAGCTGGCGTGGGGTGGACAAGCACCAGGTAATAATGGTCCGAAAAATATTCAAAACCTAACAGGAACACCCTTCCACCAGCCACCCTCTGCCCCCCAAAGCACCCGCCCTGGTGTGGCTCCCAGACAAGTGCACCAGGCTCCAGAATTATCTCCCTTGCTTTTCCTCTATCCCCCCACCCCCCATCCCAAACCCACACTCCCCGTCCCGGGCAGTTCACTTGGCCAACGGACAATCTGGGGCATCAGAGCCACAACACTGCACCCGCCCCGGAGGCCTGGGGAACAGTTCAAGATCA